ACTCGTATTATTAAAAACTTATGTGTGCTTACATCGGTATGCAGAGAGCCACTGCACATTGGCCAATGTAAATTCTCAATAGCGACAGCTAGGCCAATGCAAAGACTTCTATGTGTAGTACTAGACCTACAGTTTAGAACAAATACTGTGTCACAACTGTAGATCATGCGTGGCTAAGGCATATATGCCACGCAATTGTATTTTCATTTATGACTGTTACTATACCAAATATGAACTAATGCTTCTTACTTATCTAAAATAAACTTCAAATCACGTTGTCAAATTGCACACGTAAATAATGACTGTGTTTTCTTAGTCACATTTAACAAAATCAATGTTAGATTGTCCAAACCAATGTTCACGGTTCACAACAAAAAGTTACGGTGAATCGAGCGTAAATTGCGCAATGTACTTTTAAAAACTAAGATTCACAGACGAGCACACAGTCCACCTGATGGTAAGTGGATACTGTGGCCCATACACATCTAAATGTGTCTTCGATTGACAATCAAAATGCAGAATCGTCATCACCCCTGAGAACTAAGATGACATCCATATTCTCAGTAAAAAGGGCCTCCGGTTCTCTACACTGACCATATGAAACACAACAGCATAGAGCTGCTATTTTAAGCTGGTTTTCTGTGAGAGCGTGATCCTTTCCCGGTCGACCACTTGTGCCGTAGCTATAAAATAGGTATAGGTATAGGCTCGTGTCGTATATATACATAGAAGTCTTTGTGAGAAGTGTTTGGGTCAATGTCAGTTGACCGCGAAGGACTGGCGGCAGACGATCATCGAGCTGTCAGAGAGCAGCGGCGGCGGATTCGAACCGACGCGCTTCTGCTCAGCCTGCCTTGTGCGCCGGCCTCTGCGCTCCAAGCACTGCTCTGTGTGCAACCGCTGCGTCGCCAAGTTCGACCACCACTGCCCTTGGGTGGCCAACTGTATCGGTTAGTAGAATACAATAGAATAGAATAATTTTTATGCAATACTAGCTGGTACCCAATGTGTTGCTGCTGCAGACGAAATAATTGTATAAATATATAATTTTTTTTTGAGGAGTTATATTATTTGATTAGGAATAATAATACATTTATTGTAGTTGAATGATATATTACTTTCAAATATGAGGTCTTTACATATGAAATTGCCGTTTTTTAAGCTTTATTTTTATTAATCAAAGTAATCATCCATGCATGCATAGCTCGAAGAACCGACAACTGAAAAAAAGGTTCTCGAGTGGCAGCCTCGTACTGGTAGGCGAAGTGTATGGCGATCCCCCACTAGATGGAGTGATGATCTGGTAAGACATGCAGGAAGTCGATGGATGCGGGTGGCTCAGGACCGTGCTTTGTGGCATAGACATAGGGGAGGCCTATGTTCAGCAGTAGACTTAAGAAGGGCTGTAATGATGATGATGACCCATGCAATCGATGTATCTTTGCCTATGCATTGCCAGTTTATTGATTCCCTTCTTGAAGAAATCATCTGGCATTTTGTACTGCCTAATAAAATTTATGTATAAAGTTTCAGCAATTAGTGTTAAATGTATGAACATATATAAGTAAACGTAAACAACATTACAATAACTTTTTGAGATAATATTTTATTAATTAATAAAGTTAAAGAACAATTTTGTGGAAAAAAAATATAAAATGTATGTATAATAAATACATACATACTTTCATTTTTGATATTAATGATTTCAGCAAAGTTTAACAGATTGGTTTTATAACGGACGTCCGTAGGTTACTATCCGTTCGGGCATAAGCTGAGTGAGGTCCATTTGCGTAACTCGCCCCAACACACAACATAAATGCACACACCTGATGGTAAGTGGATGCTGTGGCCTATAGACATCTACATTTATCCTCGATTAAGAATCAAAATCTAGATGCGTTGTCACTTCTGAGGACTAAGGTGAAATACCAATTTTCCACTGAAAAGGGCCTCCAGTTCTATACACTCACCACACAAAACACAGCAGCACTAATCTGCTGTTTTACCTTGGTATTCTCTGAGAGCGTGGTCCTTCCCCAGTCGAGCTGACCCATTCATGCTGCAACCATAACATAGCTGTAGCTTGACTCTACCACATATAATTCATTTGCTATATGCAAGGCTTAAAAACCCTCTTAGTATTAGATGATATAACGCCAAACGAAAAACAAAGTGCATAATACATATGTACGCCTTTATCAGTTGTTTTATTTCTTATTTTTGCAGGAGCTAAAAATCATCAGTATTTCATCGGTTTTTTGGTCAGTCTCCTGATAATGTGCATTTGGATGCTGTGGGGCGGCGTGCAGTACTTCATGACCCAGTGCGGTGACAGAGGCTCAGCACTGGACACGGCTCTGGGCTGGCTACAGTGCAACGCCTGGCTGGCCTGGGTGCTGCTCAACGCAACCTTTCATCTGTTTTGGGTCGCAGTGCTGACCAGCTGCCAGCTGTACCTGGTAAGTGCGGGCTATTGTGGCGTACTTAGGCTGAGGAATTAGGGGATAATATTTGAGTCGGATTAATAACCATGACAAATGAAAATATGTTGCCAACCCGCTTACGAAGGGTGGCAACTATGGCAAATATCTCCATATGAGGCAATATATGAGGTAGGCTTATGTTTAGCAGTGGTCTTTAAGTGGACTGGAAAGGTAACAGTTACAATGATAAATATAACTGATTGAAATTTTGCTAGATCATTCATGGACTTTCTTCGGTAAAACTTAACATGTGTTACCCCCATACTAGGATTTTGTCCTATTTCGTGGAGGCAGTTCACATGCGTAAACAAGCATCAAGGCCTGGAACAATCATTTGGCTATGTTTTTTTTTTTTTGAATTTTTTTATAGGATAGGGTAACAAAGGAGCACACAGTCCACCTGATGGTAAGTGGTTGCTGTGGCCCATAGACATCTACATCTATCCTCGATTATGAATCAAAATGCAGATGCATTGTCATCCGTGAGGACTTAGGTGGAATGCCTCGTTTTCAGTAAAAAGGGTCTCCGGTTCTCTACACTCACCATACGAAACACAGCAGCATTAAGCTACTATTGGATGCTGGTATTCTGTGAGAGCGTGGTCCCTCCCCAGTCGAGCCGACCCATTAGTGCTACAACTGTACTACTAATATAACTGCAACATGGCTCTACCACGTAAAGTTGTTCCGCACGGGCTTTACTCTTTGTTGCTACTGCGTCACGGAGCCGTCAATGAACATTTTGATTGAATATGCAATCGTAAAAAGGAATTACTTCTTACACCACTATGTATTTTGAAATTAAACACTGAAGATAAAAATTTTCGTCATATTTTATTTGTTACAACGTCACATTGTTTTTCTCTATATTTATCATAATTTGTTTTAACTTAAAATTTTCGATTAGTGGCGCCAACTATTGTGCATTATAAAATCTAAATTTAATCGTCCCAACATTCACACATTAAGTTAAAACTATTTGGCTTAGAAGTTGTATTAATTCCGTAATATAATTGTATTGATTTAAGACTTAAAAAAGGTTTCTCTACGTGATAGACTTAAAATAAGGATATTCACAGTAGAACCAGACTAACCGACATAGCCCCACGGATTAGTAAGCTGAACTGACAATGGGTCGGCCATATAGCTCGAAGAAACGACAACTGATGAGGATGAAAGGTTGCCGAGTGCCTCCCCCCCATTATATGGAGTGATAATTTAGTAAGTTATGCAGGAATTTGACGGGATGCTTGTGGTTCAAAACCGTGCTATGTGGTATAAGGAATACCAGGGGAAGGCCATATGTTTAGCAGTGGACTTGTAAAGGACTGTAATGATGATGATTTGGTGTTCATTGTAGATTGATCACGGACATTTTATTTTGTTTATTAAAAAATATTTTCTTAAATTACTTTTAAATTACTGCCAGAGTAGCATTTTTGCAAAAATTATATAACTAGGTTCATTGGTATTTGTTTAAGGACATTTTTAAAGAGGGCAAAGTAAGTAATTTTTTCAACAATCTACATCCTTTAATTCTTATGTATAGAAATTGTTAACAATTTGTCTTATAATTTAATTATCTTTTATTATTTTTTGTTATTATTATTTTAAATCTCCAATTTTTGATCTCATGTCCAATGGGGCCCCGGTCATTTAATTGGATTATTTGGGATTATGATTTGAACAGGCAAAGGCCTTTTGGAGAATTTTTTCATTGTTTATTATACGGAGGATGTTGTAGGCCTTTCTTCGCATTCATATTAAAATGTATCCGAAGGGGGTAGCCCCAGAATATACACGAATTATTGGCAATAAAAAGGTAAATAAATAAGTCGGGTTATGAGTTTTGGATGCTTGACGGTTGAGATAAAGGACTATTGAGGAGAGACTCGTGACACTTGCTGTTTTCGCAACTGAATGGATAAAGGGTGGCAGGTGGTGACTCGTCACTTACTAAATGGTCACACATGGTGCAATTAAAGGTAGATAAGCAGTTAAAGGTGTAGAGGTTAGTCTGTGGGCTGAAGTTCTTTATACAGTCAGCATTCTACCGGTGTTATGATGTTTTACACTTCTAATCTTAAGCTTAAAACTTCAGCACTGTGCTCTAGCGCTTCACTCCGACCGGCTGACCTAGGCAAGCTAAATTACTAAGTAACCGAGAGAATACGGATATGGCCGTGTCGCCACCCACCAACAGCTCGCCAAAAGTCGTTCTGTGGACTATAATTATTATTACTAAATAAATAAGTTAGTGTTGTATGTGCGTGTGTGGGTGCAGGTGGTGTGCCTGGGCATGACGACCAACGAGCAGCTGAACCGGTCGCGCTACCGGCACTTCCAGGCGCACGGCGGCCGGTCGCCGTTCTCGCGCGGCCCGCTGCGCAACTGTGCGGATTTCTTCCAGTGCGCGCTGTGCGGTCTGCTGCCGCCGCGCCCGCGAGACTGGTCGCGCGCCGGCCTGGACGATGAACCCATGCTGCGCGACGACCAGTTCGTCTGAGCGCAGCGCTGCTACTGCACTATGTGCGCGCGGTGCGGCCTGCTGACGCCGCCCCTGCGGGCCTGGACGACGAGCCCATGCTGCACGACGACCAGTTCGTCTGAACGCAGCGCTGCTACTGCACTACGTGCGCGCTGTGCGGCCTGCTGACGCCGCCCCCGCGGGTCTGGACGCGCGTCGGGCTGGACGACGAGCCCATGCTGCGCGACGACCAGTTCGTCTGAGCGCAGCGCTGCAACTGCACTATATGCACGCTGTGCGGCCTGCTGCAGCCACCCCCGTGGGCCTGGATGCGCGTCGGACTGGACGACGAGCCCATGCTGCGCGACGACTAGTTCGTCTGAGCGCAACGCTGCAACTGCACTATATGCGCGCTGTGCGGCCTGCTGCCGCCACGCCTGCGGGCCTGGACGCGCGTCGGACTGGACGACGAGCCCATGCTGCGCGACGACCAGTTCGTCTGAGCGCAGATCTACTACTGCACTACGTGCGCGCTGTGCGGCCTGCTGCCGCCACGCCTGCGGGCCTGGACGCGCGTCGACCTGGACGACGAGCCCATGCTGCGCGACGACCAGTTCGTCTGAGCGCAGCGCTGCTACTGCACTACGTGCGCGCTGTGCGGCCTGCTGCCGCCACGCCTGCGGGCCTGGACGCGCGTCGACCTGGACGACGAGCCCATGCTGCACGACGACCAGTTCGTCTGAACGCAACGCTGCAACTGCACTACGTGCGCGCTGTGCGGCCTGCTGCCGCCACGCCTGCGGGCCGGGACGCGCGTCGGACTGGACGACGAGCCCATGCTGCGCGACGACCAGTTCGTCTGAGAGCAGCGCTGCTACTGCACTACGTGCGCGCTGTGCGGCCTGATGCCGCGCCCTCAGGACTGGGCGCACTCTGGCCTGGATGACAAGCCCATGCTGTGCGTCGACCAGTTCGTCTGAGCGCAGCGGTGCTTCTGTACTACGACCTCCATCAGCCGCACTCTTCTGTGTATACCACAACACGAGTACTGCGGTACTTACATTGCGCACTAAGTTACGGTCAATTCTCCGTAATTTTAGTCGACTGCAAGCTGACTAAAATTACCGACTAAGACCGGGGCATTACCGGACCACGCTCTCACAAAATACCAGCTTTAAATAACAACTTGATGCTGCTGTGTTTTGTATGGTGAGTGTAGAGAGTCATCGACCCCATTTTACTGGAACCGATGGCAACTGACCTTACAAAAATGTCTAGCAAACTCGGCATAATTCATTTGAATGTGTATTGTTAATTATTATTTATGTAAATATTTTGCACTGTTAGCATTGTGTTTAGCTGTAAACTTAAAGGCTGAAAAAAGCGTACGCAATTAAATATTTAAATTTAATTGTACCACTATAAAATAATACTGAACACAGTGAGTCACAAGCTGTACACTGGATGAGACACTACTAACTGCTCTAACTGTTTATGTGTTTTAAATTAAAGTACAACTAGAATATTCTTTTACGTTTAATTAAGTCACAACTAACAAGTTCGAATAACACTAAGGCGACAAAATTTCATTAACTATATTTGTATATACAACACGTAACATAATTAACGCACTTTGAGAAAGTAGTTTGTTCAGAATCGTTTACTGAATCGATTCCTTTCATTTTTAATATAAGTAATTTTTATCCCAAAAATAATTAAAACTACGTAAATTACAGTCACACTTAATCTGTACAGTCAAAACAAACTGAAATGGACCGTAACTTAAGGCAATAAGACTTTTAAGAGTGCAGTTTTATTTGTATTATTACTAATTCTGTCATTCAATAAAAACAAAGAAAAATGAACTTTATTTCAAGCACGTTAAAGTCTTTGCGTTCGTGGATTTGTACTGTGACTACAACATTCTTCCGGAATTATTAATATATTATGATTATAACATAATATTCTAATTGGGGTGTCAGAGGATGTGCGTTAATTACGTTACATATTGTATATCTATGTATATCCCTGTTTTATGTATTTCGCCTCAACCCATTGCAATCCGTTACTTCTCCCACTAACATTCCGGTTAGCTGGTAGTGTCATATAGCATTAGGTTGACCATTTGTACCTTTATTACAATAAAATTTAAATTTTAAAAAATAGTTAATTTTTAAGTGCATTTCACTTGAATTTATTCCTATCGATTCGTTTTGACAGAGGTAATTTACCACTCTTCATTTGCTAAGCAATCCATTACTCTTTTTTTAACTAGATCCCAAACAACGCAAATTTACGTACAGAAAACATTTCTTACTTGTAAATACTATAAATTAAAAGTTGCTATATTTTTTTTACTAAACTACTTCTAATAATGATTTTTTATTAGTTCCACCACCATATGTTGCTCCTGACCAAATATAATACGTACGCAACTAAGGTAAATTTTGTGCGTATTATATTTGGTAAAAAGCGACATATTGTAATGGTAATATGACTGGTACTAAATGGTACACAATAGTTCTAATACTCCACGCAATTTTAGGGCGACACTGGGCTACATTATAACGCCTGTACAACTAAATATCAAGTCTGTACTACCGCATTGTCTATAGATATGAGTTCCTATTGCCTTCGTGTATCCTTAAAATTAATTGTACACATATCGTATATAAACGCATTTCGATGTCACGCCAGTATACTCACTGTCTATACATATGAGTTTCTAGTGCCGTCTTGTATCCTTAAAATTAATTGTACCGTAAAATTTAAAATGTTATACTTTACCTTTTAAAGTCACAATATAATACTCGTGCGTGTCTGCCGCTATCATACACTTGATGTAGTGTATCTGTATAGACCAAGTGATTAATCAGGGGATTATATATAATGCCCGGGCAATATGAATAACACTGTAATTAATACTGATTAAACTTCATTATCACATTGTCTGTTCACCTAACCTATCTTTTTATTAGTCTGCCCAATCAGTAACGGAATTTCTTCATAAAGCCCGATCAATTTAATTGTTTCAATACTTTTGTCACATATTATCGATTTATATTTTTTGAATATGAAATTATATATTTCGCAACATGTTTTTGACAAGTGAAGTACAAACGATCGTATTTATTATTGCGTGTTAATTTGTGTGTATTTAATTATATTCACTTTGTGACCATTTGTTTATTGTAACGCTACGTCCAGAGGTCCTGACAGGTTCAGATATATAAAATCTTAGCTTTTAATTAAAATCTAGTAATTTCAGTAAAACCTACGCAAAAAATTGCTGGTCTCAGCTGACTTCTGGACGCAGCGTGATAAAAGATTATTATAATGTTAAGTTAATTTTAATAGCAAACGAAGTGTGGGGTTTTTCGCACAAATTGTGCACCCTACGACGATATTCGATCAAATACGGCTGGCTCCACTCCTACACTAGTGGTGAAATCAAATTCCCTAAATTAATTCCACTTAATTTATAAGGATTAAATATGTAAGTTTTCATATTACGCGCATGGCAACACCTGAAAGCAAGTTCCGTAGAATGACTCATCAAACGAACAAATCTTTATACAAATATATTTAATTTAAGAGCCTAAGGTTATATCAATAATCCTCGATACTTACTAACGTCTAATGATTAAATATTGTCACGTGTAGTGGAGTTCGGCCCCGGGCGGGGCGTCTAGTTGTATTATTTATAATCTATTTAACTTTGTATAGATTGATAATGTTGTATTATAAATAAAATGAAACCAAAATGCATTTGAATGAAATAAACTTTTAAAAATTACAATCTTAACATACTAAAAAAATAAATTATATGTTATTTCAATGACTCCTTCCACCTTCACGTTTATAATGATATTACTTAAGATTAGCTTTTACCCCATAAAACTTATATAACTTAAATTGGAAAATTAAAAATCCCCGAAACAAAAAAGCGCAGAACCGATGTTGATAAAACATCTAAGAACCACCGCTAGAAAACCTGACAATTGTCAAACTTATAAACACCTCTCTTTTTCGTCGAGGGTTAACAACAAAAGAAACCTTTACATGTGTAGACAATAGGGATCTTTGAGCAAATACATTTAATGGAAACTTACTTACATACTTAAACTTCTGTTTTTTTTATATCTAGAAAACTGCAATATAGAAAAATAGTTCAGAATTAAAATTGAGTCTATCCATTTTACGGTATAAAGGTAATGATTTCTTAAATTTACGCGAACACTACACATTGAATAAAACTATTATTTACGGATTTTATCGCGTTTAATTACTTTTTTTTTATTATCCCGACGTTTCGGGTGCTTTACAGCACTCATAGTCACGGGGGGGACTGAGATGTTTGACGTCCCAATGTCATAGTTACTCCGGCTACCTAGCCGGCTAGAAAAATCCGTAAATAATGGTAAAAAAGGTGTTTTTTTTTTCTATATCCTCCAAACCAAATTTCGGTCATGGCGCCCAGTCTCTACGGAGATTACTCATTTGCGCTGGACAGGGTTATAGGGCCCGAGTGTGCAAGCACAGGTGCACTCTATTCTCTCACTCTCATAATGCGATGTGACTGTAATCCAACACGACCGAAGAGAGATCAGACGCAGGACCAACGGCTGTACGTGCTTTCGAAGCACGGGGATGAAACACCATCAAATTCCTACTTCCGTAGTAGTATGCAAGGGTGTCTTTCTAGTGAACAAATTAGAGGTGTTGAGACTATTCTTGCTCCATTCCACTGTTTACGTCCTACTTTTCAGTCTGCCGATGTTTCTACAGCATTACACATAAGGTCATAAGCAAAAAGAAGGCGTTTCGAGTCCTTAACTCATCATTACAGCCCCTCTCAAGTCCACTGCTGAACATAGACCTCCCGCAAGGAAGGCCACAAACCACGGTCCTGAGCCACCTGTATCCATCGACTTCCTGCATGTTTTGCCAGGTCGTCACGCCATCTAGTGGGGGTCGCCCTACACTACGCCTACCGGTACGAGGCTGCCACCACAGAGTATCTTTGTATAAACTGAAATGCCACTCGAGAACCTTTTTTCCCATCGGTTGTCGGTTCTTCGAGCTATACGGCCGGTCCAATGCCACTTCAGCTTACTAATATGTTGGGCAATGTCGGTCACTCTGGTTCCACTGCGGATATCCTCATATCTAAGATTATCACGCAGAGAAACCCTGAGCATAGCCCTCATACGGCCAGCAGTGAAGGACCACATTTCAGATCCATAATTCATCACTGTTTTTTATGACTGTACCATAGATCTAATCTATGGAGTGTAGAAGTAAGGAGTACCAACTCCCATAGTAGAACAGTTGAAAAAGTGGACGTCTGTAAGCAGTAAATAACAGTTAAAAAATTCTCCATAACAGCGCTGGAGTAGCTACTGGGATGAAATGAACTTAGCAATTGTCGACGGTTTAAGTGGCTAAACTGCTCAGTAGCTCTAAAATTTAAAATAATTTCATTTAGTAAATATAACCTCGAAAAAGTCGTCTATCCCACTAATAATTTTCGGTGCGTTCTTTAAAATTTAACCCGTAGTTATAGTGGCGCCACCCGTATTTAATAGTTTTTATGGACACTTTTTAATACAGAGTCTGTACTCCTTACTTCTACACTCCATATACTGCACTAAAGCTGAGAACAAACTATCAGACGCATCTATAGATTACTGTGTAAGTACTAAAGATTTAGTATAAACTCCATAGATCTATGGTAAATACCAGGACGCGGCCGTCCATGAAGGTTAGAGAACAGGAGAACGATCGCCGTAGAAAATAGCGTCCCAGAAATATGGACACCATAAGTGAGGCCCTGCGATCGTTAAGTTCGGTCAATAAAAGTCATTTTCAGTCTATTTTTCCGATCAGATGCTAAACCACTTGCACATCCACTTTTCACCATTTTTTACTATTTCTTATTGTCAGAAATTAAAAATGTACGGAGGACGATTATTTTCTCACCACTGCCGCGAAGAAAATTTGTACAATATTCAACTAACTTCATCTACTTGTACTCATAAAATAATCGTCCTCCGTACATTTTTAATTTCTGACAATAAGAAATAGTAAAAAATGGTGAAATATTGTATTGTGCGTGGATGTGCAAGTGGTTTAGCATCTGATCGGAAAAATAGACTGAAAATGACTTTTATTAACCGAACTTATAAATATGTGATAAACGTGAAATATATGATACTCTTTTTCTGCTTGAGTTTTATTTCTTATGTTGTTGTGCGTTAATTGTTTATGGTAGTTCTATATATTATCACCTTCAGT